GGTGTTCCCTGTCCGCCGCAGGTGTTCCCTGTCCGCCGCAGGTGTTCTGGTCAACTCCTTCTGTTGTGAATTGGTGCTGTATAAATAAACTGAATTGAATTCCATGAGCAAACTGCTCCGGCTGTCTCAGGTTTGAAGAGTTCCTTCTTCAGATGTTTCAGCTCTTTCCACAGATGTTCCAACAGGATTTAGATCAGGGCTCAGAGGGACACTTCAGAACAGTCCAGTGTTTGGTTCTGATCCATTCTTGGTGTTTTTAGTTGTGTTTTGGGTCATCGTCCTGTTTGAGGCCCATTTCCTTGGACCCAGGCCAAGCCTTCAGACACGGAGCAGCTCATTTGGCTTCAGAGCCGTGACAGTCTTGAGGTTTAACTGTACCCTGCAGGTTCAGAAGAAGCAGATGAAGCAGAACAGAACCGGGCCTCCTCCATGTTTCACTGTAGGTACAGGGTTCTTTTGGGTCTGAATGCAGAGCTGATGGGACTTGCTGACAAATAGCTCCAGTTTTGTCTTTTCTGTCCGAATGACGTCCTCCCAGAACCTCCGTGTCTTTTCAGTATGCATTTTGGTGAATTCCAGTCCGTCTTTTTCATGATCTGGCGTCGTCCTCGGTCGTCTTTCAATAAGTCCACTTCGTCTCAAACAGACTGATGGGTGACCTCTGACCTTTAAGTTAACCTCTAATCTTTTTTTTTATAATTTTTTCTGGACTTTTTGGTTACTGCTCATATCATGTCTTTTCAGTGTGTCATCAGCTGTCCTCTTGTGGACATGTCCAGGGAGGTTGTCTCCAGTCCTGTGGACCAAACCTTTGAATAACTCTGGAACATCAAGCTGATGGAGACGGTCTTACAGACTTTACCTTTAACACGAAGTCAGTCATCGTCTGTCTCAGCTCCTGCGTCTCTGTCCTCAGCTTCCTGTGGTCCATGTTCAGTGTGTTACACACCGTGAGACCAAACAGCCCTGTGACTACCTGTCACAGACTCACTGATTAGACTGAAGACACCTGAGACGCTGATTACAGGACACACCTGAGTCTAACGTGTCCCTGTGGTCAGATTAGTTTTCATCTTTTCTAGAGGTACCGTACTTTTCAATATAAATATATTTATTTATTTATTTATTGTTATTATGTCATGTTTCAGGTTATTTCTGAACCTTTGTGTTTTTTTTTAATTTTCTAATAAAAAGGCACAAACACATCGATCCACATTTCATTAAAAATCTAAAAAATGAATCTTAGAATTTTGAGCTTATAAACTATAATATCCTCAGACGCTCAATTATACTTAAAAATAACCGTTTTTATCTGTGCTTTCATTAAAAACTCGTTTTAAATAATTTGCACAAACCTTAAAGTAAAAAATGTTGTTTTCAGACCAAATATGAATTTATTTTACACTCTTACTAAAACTAAATCAGATTAAGTTCAGTTTTCAGACGACCCCGTCCTCTGACAGGTGAACTCAGGTGTGTGTGTGTGTGTGAGCGTGCGTCGGTACCTTGATGTATCGCTCGTGTGGGACGTACTGCAGGATGATGGGCTCCATGGTGAGCACGTTGGCAAACTGCACCTCGGGGATGTAGAGCGCACACACAACGTGCGCCCAACCTGATGGGCACAGAGATCGGCAGAGCGTCAGAGACACGACCGGGACCTTCAAACAGTTTCAGGAAGTGGTTCTCAGACTTACCGCCGCTGTCCGTCCTCTTAAGGGCTCCATCTTTGTGGGGGCACAGTTCACACCTCTGCGGGGAAACGGGAGAAGGCGGAGCTTGTCGTTAGTCCGTCATCGGACGGATGAGTCATGATGTCGGAGGAGGGATACTCACCACGCGGGCCGCTCGCTCCTGGGACTCGCACTTCCTGCAGAACCATGGGCCGGTGGGGACCTGGACGATGCCGTAACACGCTGAAACAAACACGAAGACGCCGTGACCAAGAAGCTCCGGGTGTTTGTAGACAACAACAAATAAATATTGATCAAACTACTACTTCTTTCAGCTGTTCCCTACTCAGGGGTCTACACAGCGAGTCCTCTGTCCTCATTCTGTCCTCTGTCTTCACTCCAACTACCTCCATGTCCTCTCTGCATCCACATATCTCCTCTGTCTTTTAACCTGGCTGCTGCATTTCTAACATCCTTCTACCAATATACCCACTGTCCCTCCTCTGGACATGTCCAAACCACTGTCCCTACTCTGGACATGTCCAAACCACTGTCCCTCCTCTGGACATGCTCAAACCACTGTCCCTCCTCTGGACATGCTCAAACCACTGTCCCTCCTCTGGACATGTCCAAACCATCTCAGTCTGGTCTCTCTAACTTTATCTCCCAGTTGTTCAACCTGTGCTGTACCTCTGATGATCTCATTCTTAATCTTCTCCATCCTTCTCACTCCTAAGGAGAACCTCAACATCTTCATTTCTGACACTTCCAGTTCTGTCTCCTGTCTTCTTGTCCATGTCTCTGTCTCCAGACCATGCAACATAGCTGGTCTCACAACTGTCTTGTAAACTTTTCTTTTGATCTTTGCTGACACACTTTTGTCACAAATCACTCCTGAAACTTTTCTCCATCCTGCCTGGACTCTCTTCTTCACCTCTTCACCACGTTCCCCATGTTCCTGGACCGTGGACCCCAAGTCCTTGAAGTCCTGCACCTTTGTGACCTCTGCTCCTTGTAGCCTCACTGTTCCACCTCCTCCCTCTCATTCACACACGTGCTCTGTCTTACTACGGCTGACTTTCATTCCTCTTCTTTCAAGTGCATACCTCCACCTCTCCAAGTTCTCTTCCACCTGTTCCCTGTTCTCACCACAGATCACAATGTCATCTGCAAACACCGACTCGACTGAACTAATTCAACTTTGTAAAACCAGCTCTTCTTCATCACCTTCAGCCTGTTGGTTTCTGTTTAGATTTTAAGATTCTTTCTCTAACTCTTTAAGTTTTAAACGGTTTGGAAACCGGTTATGTAACGCAACCTAATGACTTTGGGGATCGAGCCCCCAGACTCTGGAACAGCCTGCCCCCTCGGTACAGCTCGGTCCGTTGGGATTCATGATTTGTTAAATAATTAAATATGAGAGGGAGAAGTTTTTAGAAAGCATCAGGAAGAGAATTGTGGACCCCCAGACTCAGTTCAGCCTTGGGCTCCACATGTCTGAAGGTTTTCTGTCCAAACTGTTATTAAACCTAAATAAAATAAAATAACTCTGAACTGTATTCTCTCACATGGAACGTTAGTGTCCTTAAATTAAACACCTGTGTGTGACTGTATGTTTGTTTCCAGCCGACGTGACTGAAAACGGGTCAAGAACGCTGACGTTGCTCCTCAAAGATGTTTTGGTTCAAGTTACCACGAGCGCATTGTTTACGTTTACCTCTCAGATAAATCTGGAACGAGCGCTGCGATCTGCTCAAACAGAACCAAATGATGCACGCAGGATCACTTTCATGTTTTACTGACTTCATTCTTTAAAACGAGCGACTCCGACCGACAGCAGAGCCAAAATAACTTGTTCAAACAGCTTCACTAGATTCACTTTGTTTAGAATCACAACAACCAAACAATAAAACTGAGTAAACCAACAAATTCTATAATAATCGGATAAAAAGTCGATGTGAAACACAAAGTCGAGTAATTCTCGTAAACAAAGAGTTTGTCTCCAGGTTTAAAAATCCTAAATAAACTCAGATTTTTCTGGTCTATTTGTGTTTTTCATCAAATAAAACCAAATATTTAACAAGCTGAGCTGCAAGTTTTCTACTCCGTGATTGATTAGATGTTCATCGGCTGATTTATGTCTGAAAAATGGCCGACATTGGCTGTTTTTTTTTTTATTAAAAGTGGCTGATATTGGCTGATTTTTGTTTAAAAGTGGCTGATATCAGCTGATTTAAGTCTGAATAGTAGCCGAAATCGGCTGATTTGTTTTAAAAGTGGCCGATATTGGCCAATTTATGTCTGAATAGCAGCCGAAATCAGCTGATTTTTGTTTATAAGTGGCCAGTATTGGGTCTAGATGAAACTGGAGGAGTTTTATTGTTAAAAAGTTTTATGTGACTAGTAAAATAAAACAATTTAGTGATTTGAATGGAAGGTTAAGAGGAATTGGCTGTTTTTATTTATTTATTATTGTTTTGTTTTTATTATTTATTTATTGTGATTCTTTTGTTGTTGATCTTTATCTACATTTATTTATAATCCGGTTCTGTCTATAATCTGTCGTCGTCTAGATTTAACTGTTTTGGACTTTCCGGACATTAAACTGGTTTTAATCCGGACCAGAACCAGCAGATCGGGGTTTAAATCCAGTACTTTGGGTCCGTTTCTCCGTTCAGAACAACAAAGCAAGTGTCCGAACCGGAGGGCCTCGGCAGGGGGGGATGCTTGGTGGACCGGACCGGGCCGGACCTGCCGTGAAGGCTCCGCTCAGTGACAACAAACAGCACGCCTACCTACCACCACTCCCACACACGCGCTCACGCGCACGTAGACAGCAGCCAGCCTGCCTCCAGAACCACCGACCCGACCGAGCGGCACCGGCGGCCGCTCAGCGCGCGCTAACCTCAGCTTACCCTGGTGAACGGCCACGGAGCAGCCGTGTCCGTCGCAGTAGACCAGCGGGTTCTCTGCCCAGCCTCGCTCGTCCGAACACACGCAGCAGCCTCCGACCATTTCCCGCATGCTGCTCCCATACGAACAAATGAGATTTCCCCTCCGGACAACGGCTCAGACCCGGGCCGCGTCCCGTCAGGTGGTCCTCCCGAACCTTACAGCCGAACCGGGCATAGTCGAGGGGCACGCGCCGAGGGGAAACAAAAATCTCGATGAAGGAAAAAAAAAAATCCGCTGCTTCTACGTTTTCTGCGTGATGTCCTCCTCGATGCAGTGCGCATGCTCACAGCTGATTCCTCCGGGTCGGGAATCAAAACTCAAGACGAAGGCGGCAAAATCCCGTATTAACAGTTTTTTTACAACCGTTTTCGTTATTTTTTTAAACGTTTTGTCGATTTATTACATTTACAACCACTCACCTGCGCCGCTGGGACGTCATTTTTGTCGTTAATGTGGATTAAAGCGGTCAGAACCGCTGGCTGTGCTGCTTTTAGCCTCCGCGGGGAAACAGCGCCCCCTGGCGAATGTTTGCGGCAGCGCAGGTTGCGCGCTGTTTCACCATCCGACCTGAAAACAGAAATCAGCCTTCATCTTTGTTTCTCACACACAGCCCTCATTCAGCCTCGGTCCACACATTCGACTGCAGCGTTTTACATTTAAAATCCCACTTCACTATAAATTCACAGTAAAATATTTGTAAAGAGGCTGTTTTTAACCGTGAGGTCCAAATCCAAGGAAAGCGAGGCTTGGCGCTCCTGGGTGTGCACGTCACTCGCCACTTCTACACAAATGCCCACTGACCAGTTCAAGTTGCATCTGCATGCCCACCGGTTTGTGGGATATTTTGCCAACAGACGCAGGGATGGTTAATGCCAGTGTCGCACTGTTTGTTGTGCTTGTTAGGTACAACTCTCAGCTACTACCGCAAAACATTTTAGGTAATCACAAAGTTTGTTTTCTCAGTCATCCAGGTATATAACAACAAAAAAGGTTGAATCATGTCATCTGGACTTCGTTTTTTTGTTAAAAAGAAACGTTTCGCCCCTCATCCAAGAGGCTTCGTCAGTCTGAGGCCTAGCCATCTGGTATTACCCAGAAGCCACCCTGACTCTTGTGTTTCAAGCCTGCCTCAGATACCCCTGAAGTCTGGCCTTTTCACTAATGGTTTCAAAAACACATGATTTTAGGTAATCATCAGTAAAGCAGGCTGCGTTAGTCATTTTTGTGCATTTTGAGATCAGTTGTCTGTAGCGTCCATCTTAAACCAGTGTTCACTGAAATATTTTTCAAACGAACATGGGCAAAAAAAAAAATTCTTGTGCCTTTGCCTTTTATCGGTGGGCGATAAGTTTTGAAAAAAGGTGAAATCTTCCTTCCGTTGGAGCGTCTGGGAGTCTTGTTTATGAGCGACAGCAGGATGAGGATCCGGGAATCTCCAGCAGTAAGGAGGCTGTTGCTCCAGTCTGTTGTGGTGAAAGAACAGCTGAGCCTATAGGCAGATCTCTGACCGGCTTCATCTATGCTCCGACGCCCGCCTGCGTCTATGAAGTTTGGATCGTGACCTGAAAGAACCAGATCCTGTATTAGAGCAGCTCGCAGAGTGGCTGGGCCGGGGGGTGGGGGGTAGAGCTGCTGCTCTTCTGGATCAAGAGGAGTCAGCTGAGGAGGTTCATATCGTGATGACTCCTTTCTTCCCCCAGGAGAAGATGGCGAGCACAGCCGGGTAGAGGGAGGTCTGGGTTTCCTTCCTGGACCTACTCAGACTTTGGTCTCCCCCCACACACCCACCCAAACTTCTTCTGTCCAAAAACATCTTGGTCTTCAATTGTCCCTAACCCTCGAAGTGTTCTGGTCTTAGTTTGCTCACAGAGACATGAATATGAACTTTTTTTTTAAATGCACGGAAGGATCAAACAAATGTTAAGATCTGTCAACATTCACCTGATGAGAAGAAAACAGATCTGTTTTAAATTTCACATTTAATTTTTCTATTTGTGGGCTTTAATATTTACTCCAGGTCTAACTTCAGAGAGCTTGAAACACCATCTTTGATACTTCTCATTGGTGGAGAGTCCGAGTCTGTACTGTTAGTAATCACTGCATGTATGTCTAAGACGTGTCAATCTCAAGGCCCGGGGGCCAAATGTGGCCCTTGTTGACATTTTATCTGGTCCCCAAGCTGTTATTTTAAATGTAAAATACTATTATCACTTTCTTTTTTTTTTTTTCAGTAATCTTTGATTATGATGTCCATTGTGCAACAGAGAACATCAAATGAGACCAACCAAGCTCTTGTTGAGGAACCTGTGACCAAGAAAAGATGCTGGGTATTTAATTTAAGTTAATATAGATTCTGAAACTGGCCCTTAGTTTGAGAAAAGTTTTAATTTTGGCCCCCACTTTGTAAGTGGGTTTGACACCCCTGGTCTAAGGCCTGATTCAAGATGGCCGCCACAGCAGCGTGATCTTAAAACACTAAAATGGCTAAAATTCGACCAATTTTACAGGTAATGAGCTGAAATTTGGCGTAGTAGTAGCTGAGAGTCATCCCCAACACGTGCTTGGAGTGATAACAAATCACATAAAATATTTTGAAAGTTTGATTAAAACTGATCAAACTTAGTTTTTATGAAGATGATTTTAGTTTCAAACCCTAGCACGTTAGATACAGACCTTTAGGTATATATTTTTGGTCTGTGGGAGGAAACTGGAGTACCCAGAGAAAACCCACGCATGCACTAAGAGAACATGCAAACTCCACCCAGAAAGGCCCCTGGACTGGGATTTGAACCAGGGACCTGCTCGCTGAGAGGCAGCAGCTCTACCAGTTGCGCCCCCGTGCTGCCAGTGAAACTATTCAATTTTGATCATTCATTTAAGGAAATGAGGTCAGTTTGTTCTCCAGTAGTCTAAGCTTAAGGCAGCAACAAGCCAACCCTAACTATAGGATTTATCAAAAAGGAAAGTCTTAATCCCAGTCTTCAAACTGGACAACATGTCAGCTTCATGGACAGAAACTGGAAGTTGGTTCCACAAGAGAGGAGCCTGATAACTGAAAGATCTTCCTCCCGTTCTGCTTTTGGAAACTCTAGGAACCAAAAGTAAACCTGCAGTCCGAGAGCGAAGTGCTCTGTTGGGAAAATATGGAACAATAAGATCTGTAATATAAGATGGAGCTAGGTTGTTGAGAGCTTTGTAGGTTAGAAGTAAGATTTTGAATTCAATTCTGGATTTGACAGGGAGCCAATGGAGAGAAGCTAAAACTGGAGAGATATGATCTCTCCTACTAACTCCAGTTAAGACTCTGGCAGCAGCATTTTGGATCAACTGAAGATGTTTTGAAGACGTATTTGGACATCCAGAAAATAAACCATTGCAACAGTCCAGTCTAGACGTGACAAATGCATGGACCAGTTTTTCTGCATCATTTTTAGATATTTCTAATTTTAGCGATATTACGCAGGTGGAAGGTGGTGGTCCTAGTAAAGATTTTAATGTGGGGGATAAAGGACGTGCTGATCAAAAATAACACCCAGATTTTTAACATTAGAGCTGCAGGCCAGATTAATGCCATCCAAGGAGGGAGAAAGACTGAAAAAATTATTCCTAAGATGCTCAGGTCCAAAAACCAAAACCTCAGTCTTGTCTGTGTTCAAAAGCAGAAAATTCAGGGTCATCCAGGTTTTTATGTCTGTAAGACATGCTTGTAGTTGGATTCATTGGGCTTCATGGACAAATATAACCGTACCATCAGCATAGCAATGAAAATTTATCCCATGTTGTTTAATAACATTACCTCATGTAAGCTTATAAAAGGTAAAGCATATTGGTCCAAGTACTGAACCTTGAGGAGCTCCATGACTAACTTTGGTGTAAGAAGATGATTCATTAGAATTATTATTATTACAGTAAATGTTTGTAGTATTAGAGTTGAGCGTTTTTCTGGACTGGAATTAAACTGAATGAAGTAAACTTTAATATTCAAGTGGACAGGAGTTACACTGTGGAGAAGAACAGAGACACATTTCTGTTTTTGTTTGAGACCCTGGCGTTTTGTCACTACCAGGAGCAGTGGAGGAGGGGGTGGCCTTTGGTGGCCTTGCCCATCATAGAATAATATTTGGCCACCCCAATCATTTGAGGAACGTTTAAGCAATATAAAAACTAGAAAGCAGTGTTTTCTCAAATTCAATTCAGTTTATTTATATAGCGCCAAATCACAACAAAGTTGTCTCAGGACACTTTACAGAAACATTCACATACATAAAAGCCAATTGGTAAAGTTCTCTAAGGAATCCAGCAGACAAGTTGAATCTTGAAATGAAAGGGTTGGCCAGTTTACATATATACAGCGGCAGCCATTTTGGATGTTGACTTACAGTAGCAACCCAATTTTTGAAAGGAACCTTTTTGGAAGTTGGTTCCTCACTTATTTTTCAAATTATCATGCTCGCAAAGCCACCAGACTGACGGAAGGTGTTTCCGATCCTCTTCTTGGCTCCTCCACGGAGGACAAAAATATTCAAACATCTCTGCATCCCGACAGAACAAGATCCTGCCTGTCCCGTCGTTCAGTCAGCAGATGTCACCAAAAACTTAAAACGCATCAACTTAACTTTTGGTGCTGGAAACAAGATAAAAAGAAGAGTGAGGAGAAGCAGCCACAGGTTTATTATTTCTACATTTTTTAACCCTCCCACTCGTCTGTGAACCGTTTTAGTCACAGTTTCACCCTGAACTCTCATACTGAGAAGACGGACGCCTCCGAGTGTTGAAATGGTTGGAAAAGAGAAGCTGTTGGATGACTTGGCTGTTTGGGTCGACATGTTGGATGGAAGCCGTGATAACAGCGTGGCCTTCGCGAGCGTCACTTCTCTTCGAGCCTGAGGAGAGAAAAGGGAACTGGCTGCGATGGGGAGGCCAGATAACGAGGTGGCAGCTGGATGAGGCTAACACCCGCTCTCTTCTGGTCTGAAGGCAGCAAGGCGTGAACCAGTTCCTGCAGCGCCGTGTGGGCGGCGTGAAAAAGCTCCTCTGTGGCTCGTCAGCAAACCCTCGTCACACTCAGAGGAGGCTTTTAAAGTTTGTCACTTCGTTCAAAATTCCCACAAAGCCTCGGTTTTTGAATAAACGTTTGCCCCTGCAGGTCTGGAGTTTTACCGGCATGAATAACGAGACGGGCCAGCCTCGTGGGCGGAGAGGGAAGAGCGAAACTGCTGATTAAAATCACCGATCTGCAGCTTCTCATCCTTTCCTGGTTGAATGACTGCTACAGTTGAACACGTACAAAACAAAACCTCCACTCTCCTCCCACCGGCAGCTGAATGAAAAAGGAGGGAATGCATATCGCCCGCCGCCTTTCCCACCAGAGACTCCCCGCCTCCCGTTGAGGAGTTAAAGCCGTCATGGTCAAACATGGGAATATGCTAAATTTTATGCAAAATCTCATACGATCCGTTAGCTCTTTTGAGTGCGGCTGGGCTGACCCTTGACTATTACCATGCCGAATTTCAGCTCCACATCTGTACGTCTCACCGAGCTATAGCTGTTTATATTTTTTATAAGTTGAGGATGACTCTCAGCTACTACCACGCCGAATTTCAGCTCAAACCCTTTACAATTGAGAAATTAAAAGCCATTTTCTGTGTCTACGAAGACTGGTTAGCTGTGGTGGCCATTTTGAATCAAGTTGACTCCAGACATGACGAGTTTCCTAAAGTTTAATTAAATCAGTTCGATGACTCGGGAGATATTTTGCTAACAGACAAACCTGGTCCTAAACGTTATAAACACAGCTATCGTGTCATCATGTGTTGGGATGACTCTCAGCTACTACCACACCGAATTTCAGCTCCAAAATTTATATAATTCACTTTGTTATAGCGTTATAGATGTTTTTTTGTCGTTGGCAGAAATCTATTGGCTGTGGCGGCCATCTTGAATTTGACAGACTAAAAGCTAACTGGTTGTAGACATCTTGAGTTTCTTTAAGATCTGTCAAGTGGTTTGAGATATTTTGCTAACACACTTGATTTTAAGTCATAAACAGATGCGATCGCAGCTCAAAACATGAGTTAGAGATGACTCTCAGCTACTACCACCCCAATATTGAGCTCAAAGTCTGTAGCCATTTTTTGTGTCTACTTAGCCTTGTAGGCCATTTTGAATCAAGTTGACTCCAGAAACGATTATTCTCCTAAAGTTTAATTAAAATCCACTCAGTGATTCATGAGATATTTTGCTAACGGGACAAACGTCACCCCGCCTTCAAAGGAAACCTTGAAATCTGACTAGTGAGGAAATGACGAGCCGATCCTGAAACTGTTGGCATGATTTTCAGAACCTCCCTCGTGTTTTTTAGGTCTGTTCGGGTTCTGCTGCTCGTTGGAGAGCTGAGCGAGTGTTTTGTTCTGGAGTGAGACGTGCAGAGTGTCGCAGAGTGAAGTGTCCTTTGAAGCGTGAACTGCACCTCTCTGAAAACCACAGCTTAACAAAAGAGACGTTCGACATGAGAGATTTTTTTTCCTCTTCTGCAGCCTTGAATCGTCGACCTGACGTTCTGACAGAGAGCGGTTCGTGTGAGGGAGGAAGTGTCGGCTTTTATTTTTTACACAAGTCAAACAGAAAAACAGACGATGAACGCTCGTCTCCTTAGAGGAATAAAACTTTACGGCACAAACAGCAGTTAGGAACAGAGGCTTTACGGCCGTCGAGGCGGCAGAGCAGAAGGCGACTCGGAGCAGCCGGGGGCCGACGGGTCACGCTCCGCCTCCATGAGTCCGTCCGTCCTCGTGCGGCGCCGCCCGCCGCCGTTTACTTCAGCTCCAGGCGGTGCTCGCCCCGGGCTATGTGGGACGAGAACTCGTAGCGGTCCCGGCTGCGGTGGCCGCACACGTTGCACTCCAGCGGGTCGCGGAACCCGTGGCACCCCATGTGGATGGTGAACATGACGTAGTCCAGGAAGATGACCCTGCAGTGGCTGCAGGGGTACACGGCGCCGAGCAGTGACCCCGCCTCCCCGTCCGCCCGCATCACGCGCAGGGCCTCCAGGGGCGACAGCGGGATGGGCTGGGCGTGCGGGTGGGGGACACCGTTCTGGTGGTTCAGGCCCCCCAGCAGGTGTCCTAAGCTGTACACGACGGGCTGGGACATCTGGGAGCCGTCGGGGTGGAAAGACTCCAGGCCTAGGGGGGGCTGCGGGGCGTGAGGGAGACCCAGCATCGGCATCTTCTGGCCGTTCGTGAGGCCCGTTGGGCTCATGTCGGTGCGGTTCAACGGGATGGGGTAGGGCCTGTGGGAGGGAGGCGGGTCACCATCTGGACCCATGTGGACCGGCTGGTGTCCATCGGGCCCGGGCGAGCCTGGAGGGGGGTTCTTCACCTCAGACCGGTGGAGCAGCTCCCTGCTGAAGCTCAGGTCCAGACAGACCCCGTTGTCGCCTGCACCGGTGACACAAGAGAGAGCTGAGCAGGAGGTTTGGATCAGAACCAGACAAACAGAGCAGAGAGCAGCGAGGAAGAGCCGCAGGCAGGAAGGAAGCTACGAGGAAAACACCCACTCAGTTCCAGGACTCAAACACTCGGAAATGATCCAAACCGAACCGTCGGTGAACAAAAACTAACTGTTGGAGCTGCGAGTAGAACCCGGCAGCTTCAGCACCAGAACCCTCCGTGGGTTTCTGCATCAGTCTCAGGTGGTTGTGGAGGAGCTTTGGCCCAAACAAACCCTGAAGGTACTGGTCTGAACTTTGAGGAGCAAACCCTGCAGGTTCCATGTGAGTTCATCTGATCAGCTGCCGAGGAGGTCGCGCTCCTAAACTCTGGAACAATCTGCCCCATCGTCACTTCCTGTCGTTTAAAACCCGTTTGATTAACCCGGGTCGCTTGATTCAGAACTTTATTGTTCTGTTTATTTGCTTCTGATGTTTTAAAATTATTATTTTTTTCTTTTAATCTTTGTCTTTTATTGTTCAGCACTTCAGGAACAACTTGTTTTTAAACATGCGTTGTAAATAAATCTGACTTGGACTTTATGTACTAGATACACAACCTGTACGAACTCTGTAAATACTTTGTGCGTACCTGGTGAGTACCTTGTCAGTATCTGGTACGTAGCAGATATACCTCACTAGTACCCAGTATGTACCAGGTACACTAACAAGTATGTACCTTGTAAGTACCCAATATGTACTTCATAAGTATCAAGGACCTGTAGATACCAGGCTGTATTAGTTATTTCTGCAGCTTGTAGAACCTCCTCCAGCACCAGAACCCTCAGTGGGTTCTGTCTCGTGATTGTGGAGGAACTGTAGCCCACTCTTCTTTCCAGCGTTGCTTCAGTTCACTGAGATTTGCAGACTGGACTCTGACTGGATCGTTGGTTCTGTTCTTTTTGACCCGTTCTGTTGCAGATCAGCTGCTGAGTTTGGACCAGTTTGGTCTAGCCTTCAGCTGTTGGGACTCCAGAACCATTTGGTCTCCAGAGGAGTTCTGGTACACTCAGTGACCGAAGGAGCCCAGACCATCAGCCCTCCACCACCGTGCTGACAGCTGGGAAGAGGTGCTTGCTGCAGTGCATTCTGGATAAACATCTGTTCTCTGGTCTGGTTCTGTTAAATGGACCTTTTCAAACTTAAGTGGTGCTGCCATGTTTTCTGCTGCAGCTCTTCCAAACAAGCCGTGACCTTTGACCTTTGACTGAGGCTTGTTGGCCTTATTTCTCAGACTCCAGGGAAGATTAGCAGCGGTCTTAAAGCTACTTCTTCAAACGTCACAAAGATTGTTTGTTTGTTTGTTTACCAATAGAAACAGAAGCAGTGGCTTTAAAAACAGGTGGTGGAGTTAGTTGTTGGGGTCAGAAGTTTTACGGTTTTGTTGTTTTAAATCTGTTTATTATGAAAATAAAACGACGACGCAGTAAATTTACCAGTCTAGAAGTTTTGTGTTTGAATTTGGAGTTCTGTCTTTTGATACGTTACATTTCTTCGTAGTTTTAGAAGATTTTCCTCTTTTTTTGGGGGGTGTGTGTGGTGTTAATCAGCAGATCCCCCGTCATATTTCCACCTGAACATCTTCTAAGCGTCTGCTTCTTGTCTGGATTTCTCGTCTTTACCCACAGACTGCGACCTGATGCAGAGGACTCGAGCTTTTTGTTTACATCGAGTGTGGACCTGCATTTTAGAATTACAATCAATAAACCAGTTGGAGTAAACAAAACTAACCACTTGATGCAGTTCACTCCAGTTTGGAAATGACCTTTGACCCTCGGCAGGTTGATCATTAGCCGCAGCTGCTTCTATTCGGGGGTCATTGCTGATGTCTTTCCGTCTTGGTGTGTTCACACACTCCTGGATGCTCCGAGCTGCAGAACCTTGTGACCAGCAGCTCCTGAGCGGTACTGAAGCTGAGATGGAATGAGTGTTTCAGTCGCAGCGAACGACTGTTGAGCGTTTTTGTTCACCTCAGATTAGATTTAGATCAAATCAGTTTTATTAAAGCAAGTGACTTTTTCCCTCCATGATTGTAACAGATTCACATTGGGGAGTTCCTCTCTTGGGTGCGGAGAGAAAAACCGTCCCCCCCCCCCCGAACAAGCAGGTGCTTCAAGAGACAAAAGCAGCTTTAAAGCGAGGAAGCAGATGCTCCACAGAAGAATCGACACCTGCTCACGTTTCGCCTCTTCTACCTCTGCGGTCGCAGAGCCTCTTTTCTCTGTGGTTGTCACGTTGGAGGATCTTCATTTGTCAAGTTGATAGACGTGGGAGGTTTTTGTTTTAAAGGCGTGATTGTGAAACTACAACCTCATGTTGAGTTTAACGAGCGGTGAAGGCAGGTTAGTGAAAATCGAGCTCATAAAGTTTGGGAAATGGCGGTGTCGCCTCGGCTGTTTACCGAAACCGAACCTCCGATCTTTCAATTCATTCACGGCACACGAAGTGAGCAAACACTGACGTGTTTCAGGTGCACGTTTTCTTTTTGTCGTTCTTTCCACGTGAATTTGTAGATTGAAGCATGCACAGTCACATACCCACCTACAGCACCGCTGACGGAGTATTTATGGCGGCGCAGACGAAGCTGTGGCGCTGCAGGCATGAGGCAGCTGCTCTGCTCTCAGTTCTTGTCTGGCAAAAGATAGAAGCCGGCAAAAATAAACAGACGAGCTGCTCAGACAAACGGCTTGAAATACACAGATCTTTGTTTATTTTAAAGCTTAAAGCGCAGCAGGTGCAGCGTGAACTGTGAGAGCTGGTGAAAGAATAAACAACACAAACTGCGTATTTAGACGAGACGAGTTAAAAACATGTGAAACCAGCGTGAGCGCTCTGAGGGCTGCGACTTTGCTGCTGATCTTACCCGTGAACTTCTGCGGCATCGAACTTTTCCGCTTGGCGACGTTGCTGGCGAGCCGGTCGAGAAGCAGCGCTCGCTCCGAGCCCATCTGAGACCTGGACGTGTGGCTGTCCTCCGCTGGACAACAACAACAACAACAAAACGAGAGGGTGTGAGCCACAAAGAGGCTGGAAGATGAGCTGCCTGAAAACACAAATGAAACACCAGCTGCTCTACGTGGAGCCTCTCAAGGAGGAACAAGATATTAATTTAAGATGAGTCGCTCTGACCTCACTTCCTGTTTGATTATTTTGTTTTCTTTTACCTCATTTGTGCAGGAGAAGAGACCGCAGGGTGAGGATGTACTTCCTCACCACTACAGCACTATCAAGAGAAAACTTGAGACACTCGGTGACCACAAATCCTGCACAGTCTGAGTGTTGCAATGTCCTGTCAGAACACAGAGAGGCACCGAGGGGGGGCGGGGGGGCTGGAGATGCTCGTGTCTGTGTGACAGAACTCGAGTTGAGCGGCCGGGCTCAAACGTTTGCCCTATTTGGCTTCCCCTTTGCTGATACAGACACAAGAAGTCTCTCCCCACCACAGCAGCCATAACCCATTTATCTGGAATCAAAGGGCAGCGCTCGTTAACGTAACGAGGCCAGAGGAGCCGGAGCTGCTGGCAGCAACACGCCGCGACCGCAGCCGAATCAGACCTGCAATCACCCGAGTCGTCTGATGAAACGCTGGGATCGTGTGAAACAAACAGAACACCAACATTTAACGCAACGACGAGAATCAGAGCTTAACGGCAGCAACAAGCATCCTTAAAGGAGTTCCAGGTCCTGGTTTCCTCTGTGAGGGGTCCAGGACCTGAGGAGTCCAGTTGTTGGAGGTTCTGGAAGGAACGTTGTTCCATTCTGGTCTGGTGGAGGGTTCTAGCTGTTGTACAGTCCTGGATGGGAGCAGATGTTCTACAACCTGTAGATATTTTTCTTCATTGATGGAGTCTCCAGATGTGGAAGCTACTCATGCCAGAGGCACTAATGCACCCCCATACCATCAGAGAGGCAGGCTTTTGAACTATGCTCTGATAACAGGCTGGACAGTTACTCTTCACTCTTTGTGGCATCCGTGGTTTCCAAACAGAACCTCAGATTTGGACCCATCTGACTTCAGAACAGTTCTGGTCCATTTGAAATGACCTCTGGTCCAGAGAAGACAGCAGTGATTCTGGATGGTGTTCACATCAGGCTCCTTCTTTGCCTGATAGAGCTTTGAGCAGAATTTGTGAATGAACTGTGTTTACAGTGGAACTGTTCCTGAATCCAGAACAGAACCAGCACCAGACCTGGTGGCTCCCGAGGGCCTGAAGGTCACGACCTTCAGCCTCTTCTTTTGAGCTCAGAGGTTTCTACAGATTCTTCTAATCTGGTGATGAGGTTATGAGCTGCAGATGATGGAGAATCAAATTATTTATAGATTCAGTTTTTTACAGACTGCTGAACCTCTGCCCATCTTTACTTCTTTTTATACCAGTTCTCTTAGTGATCTGCCGACAATGAACCTCATTAGTTGTAAAATGTTCCTCTGGCGTCTTATTCATTCATTTGTTTGTTTGTTTATTTATTTAGAAATTGCCCCACTGACTCTGCGAGAACAACTTTTAAAATTTCATTTGTTTACCGTGTTCCATTGTGAAGAAAATATTTGTTTATAAACTTTGCAAACGGTTTCTGTTTTTATTTGTGTTTTACAGACCAGCACAACTTGTTTTGGCGTCAGGTCTTCATGACAGATTTTATTGAATCGCCCGGTTCTCTGCTTGAATCTGCCCGATCAGCGATTACTGTTTGGATCTGCTTAGAGTCCAGGAGGTCCCAGTTCACTGGCACCAGGACCACACCACGGCTCTGTGACACGCGGACAACAGAACATCTCAGGAAGGCAAGTTGTTCAGTTCGATCCCGTCTCTTCTGCAGGACTCAAACTCTGGAGCGTCAGACGACACAAGGTGAACTCTCTGGATCTGAACGCATCGGAAACAAATGAACCGATTCTTGACTTTGGGGAAACTAAAAGGATGAACCTAAAGCAAAAAAATGTGTGATGATGCAAGATGGAGAGGAGCACGCTAACGTTAGCTTAGCACCGTCAGAAACAAGAAGTCTTATAAAAACAAAACTGCTTTAGGCAGATGACGAGTCTCAGTCGAGGTAAAAACTGATCCTCATCATTTTATCTGTCAAACAGTTTTATTTGACTAATAAAAGATCTAAACTCTAAAAACACAAAAGTATTTTGTATATAAATGACTTTCAGGCAGTTTTTAAAGCACCTTAACGAAACATTGAGCATTCTGTTGAACTAAAACAGTTCTTCATGTATTTCTATTAAAATTATTGATATTTTAAAGATGAATTGTTGAAACTGGACAAGTCCAACAAATACAGGAAGTGTTAAAAAATTAGGTTAAATAATAAAACCTCAGGAAAACAAGAGTAACGCGTACAGATAGTCTGTCAACAAACTGTTATAGCAACGACCCAGATGAGCCTTGTGTAACATGTGACCTTTATAATTAATTAATTAATAATGCTGCACATCCTTTCCAGCCTGATCACGCTGTCTCGCCAATCGGTACAAGTCCTTCTCGCCCTCTTTAGTGTCCGTCCAACCTCTCATACAACTCATCGTGCACCTTCTGCTTTGCCTTTGCCCCCTCCCTCTTTGCTCTACGTCCCATCTCCTTATATTCCTGTCTCCTCTCTTCAGTCCTCTCTGTCATACTTCTACTTGGCTAACCTCTTTCTTTAAAACACTTCCTGCACTTCACTATTCCATTCATAATTAATTAATAAGAATAAGAAGAAGAAGAAGAGGAGGAGATAGAATAATTTGGTAAATAATAAAATAAATTTCAGAGGACTCTGAAGGTGTTTTTAGTGATAAATTAACTCTTTTTTTTAATTTATTTGCTGTAAGCTCGTGCTGTCAGCGAGCGTTGTTGTTCAGGACCGATCTCGGCCGTACAGGTGTGAAGTGTGCTGGAGTTCGGACCGGCTTTGCGCTCACCTCTCTCGGCAGGACCTTTGCTCTGAACGTACACGTGGCACCTCTCTCGGTGCTCCTCCAGGGAGCTGCGCTGCTTGTAGCTGCGACTGCAGTGGTTGCATTTAAACGGCTTCTCGACTGCAAAACAGGTTTCAGTCGATCGATGAGAGCGAACGAGCACAGACAGAAAATGATTTCCTAGAGCGGGCGGTTTCGTTCAAAACCGATGAGCTGAGCTTTAAAGAGCCCGTCTGCAGGTAAAACATGACATCTGAAAGTAAGATATCGTGTGTGTGTGTTAGTGTGTGTGTGTGTTAGTGTGTGTGTGTTACTGGAAAAGGCTCAGCAGACTTCATGTGTCAACAGTTTACAAAAAGAGTGAGAAACAACTTGAAGGAGTAACTGAAACAGTCCAGTACGCAGGTGCACACAGAACCAGAGAGCGTGCGTGAGCGTGCACGTGGTGGGGCGCTACCTGAATGCGTGCGCAGGTGCCCGCTCAGAGCGTCGCGCCGTCGGCAGGCGTAGCTGCACATCGGGCATTTGAAAGGCTTCTCCCCGGAGTGCAGTTTGATGTGGCGGAGCAGGTTTCCCTTCTGGGTGAAGGAGGCGCCGCACTGAGTGCAGTGGAAAGGCCTCTCTCCTGACACACACACACGTGCACGCACACACACGTGCACACAGACACACACGTGCACGCACACAGGAAGAACAATCCACGTGGTTTCACTCAGTCACGTGATGGAGTTCACACTTTAAAATCCAACATTCTTCAGTCAATCAGACAAAGCTGTGTCCGTGTCTGTTAGCAAAATATCTTGTAAACCACTTGACGGATTTTAATAAAATTTTCAGGGAATTAATCGTTCCTTACACGTCTACAACTAGTTAGGTTTTAGAGTTAACCCGACATGTCAACAGACTTTAAAAAACAAAAAAGTGTCTCTCAATCTAATTTAGGTCCACCGAGCTAAACGTTGGTGAGGTAGTAGTTGAGAGTTATTCACAACACGTGCTCCAAGTGCTACTTGGACTTTCAGCCTTACCTGTTAACTAACCCAACTTTAACCTTGACTTGGTAATCAGCTCGGTTCGTCTGGTTTAAATTAAATGGTTTTAATGAAATTAGACTCCAGCTCAGCCAGTTGAACCTTTACTGGTCTAACATTCATTGCTTTAGCAAAAGCTTTAGACTCGGCTGACGGCGCAGACGACAGTTTGATCACATGGACATGTTGTCAGCTCAGGTCGTTTCAAAATAAAAGTCCCCAATGTCTGTCGAGGCTTTAGAAGAAAGACGATGGAAGAGTTTATAGTTTTTAGTCTACGGTCGATGATGTATGAAGGATGAAACTGTGTCATGGATTGTGTCAGCTCTGGTTCTTTCAAAATAAAAGTGCCCAATGTCTGTCGAGGGTTCACTTCAGTTCGGTTTATTAGTTTAATAATAATAAAAGCATTCATGTAACAGGTCTCTCTTGTAAAGAAGGTTTCGAGGCTCAATGGGAACTAACCTCTCTAAATAAAAGGTCTAATATAGCGTCAGCTTTAGCAGGAAGACGACGGAAGGGTTTATAGTTTTGTAGTCTGCAGTGACGTATTCATTCGTTCCTTCATTCAACCTTTATTTAGACAGTTAATCGCATTTAGCCTCAGGGACTCATTTATAAGAGAGACCTGAATGAATGAATAAATGAATGTATGAAGGATGAAACTGTGTCACGGATTGTGTCAGCTCTCCTCGTGTCTGATGGCGAGCGGACCTCCACAGAAAGGTGCCGCTTCACGAGTCTGAAGGTGACACTTGGACCTGCAGCTGCGCTCAGCGCCCGTTGTTCTGAATCTTTATCAGCCGCCATCAAATCACACGGCTTCAGTGTTCTTACTGAACAAAAGAAGATGTTTCACAACCAGATGGTGACGATGATTAAGCCGCGCTCATTTGTTGCACCGACCCGAACAAAAAGATCTGAAAAGGCGTGACGGTGGTGCAGCGGTTGATGCTTACCCGTGTGGCTGCGCTTGTGCACCAGCAGCACGTTGATGCTGATGCAGGACAGGCCGCAGATGTCGCAGCTGAACTTGCTCGACGTCTGCACGCGGGGAACCGCGCCGCCGCCGGCGAAGCTTCCCTCTGCACCCTCCTCCGCCATCGCCGCCGCATGGGCGTCCGGCAGCGCCGCGCCGTCGTAATGAGAGTAACCGACGAGCGACAGGTCCTGCGGCTCGTTCAGGACGTCCTCGTCTCTCGGCTCGTCGTCCTCCGTTCGCTCCTCGTCGAACGACCCCTCCATCCCGTCCTCGCTGCCCTCCTCTTTGGGCACGAGCTCCGCTTCTGTTCCCGCCTTCAGACAGCGCTCGCTGTCGTCCGTCTCCTCGGCCTCCATCTTAATCACGCCTGAGGAGGGAACAAAAAGCATTTCAGCCCCACAGAACCTGCAGCTCGGACACGTGGAAGGGTTTTAATGACCAAACGAAAGAGCGTGAATCACGTCTTTTTTCATTCATTCAACCTTTATTTAAACAGGTTAGTCCCACTGAGCCACGAGGACTCATTTATAAGAGAGACCTGGATTTTAACAAAGAGTGATGACAACAACGACAACAACAGACATTCACATATGATTCATACAAATTTAAGTTTTGTGTTGCTTTTTTACAATTGAAAACAAAATGATAATTAAAATGAGAAAGAGCCGTAGCGAAAAAACAGCTAGATTACGAGGCGGTGTAGAAAACTAAAAACAGGAACATGTCTGAAGTTCTACTTTTGTTTGAAGTTGGTTGTTAGAATTTATAGCGGAGTTGATCGGTGCGCGGAGCTTCGTTTGGGCGAGTGTCACAGATTCAGACGACGAGCGCCGAGATAAGAGGAGAGCGTTTCCTCTGAACGAGCAGAAACCAGAACCAGGAAAGGCGCCGGCCGACGACTCGTTCTGCTTAAAACGAGTCGTTTCAGGTCGTCTGCCGCCTCCTTAGTTCAGCGTCCGTCAGCAGCGTCCTCCACAGCCAGACCCGGTCCAGACCCGGCCCATACACAACTGTGCAAAAGTTTTAAACATTGCTTCAAGAGTTGCTTCTTTTTTTAAAGTTGGTTTGGTCAAGTCTTTGTACTTCCAACAGGAATTTTCTACGTTTTCTTAGAAAATTGGCTTCTTTTAAAAAAATTTAAATAAATCTTCCATCTTCTATCGGAGTATTTCAGAAGAACGGCGCTTTTTGTTTGTTATCTTTGACCTAAATCTCTGGATCAGCTCTGTGTCGACCCACAACCTGAAGAACCCATTTTAAAATGGGATTTTGGGGCTTTTTGTTAACTCTGTGACACAAAAGAACAATTTGCTCCCATTTATTTAGCTGAATCTGTGAAAAACACCAAAGATAGTTTAACAGACAAAAAGGAAGATTTCAGAACCAGCAGAGATTCTAAACGCGTCTGAAACTCGAGTTAATACAACTCGAGGATCATAGATTATTCCAGGGCTGTCGGGTTTTGACACGACTCAGATGCTGAAGAAGACTCTTTTTCTTTCTTCCTCCACTTTGTCTACTTTTCATGCAAACGTTATAAAACATCCCACCAGGTGCACAAACAGGACAGAAAACTGGTGATGAAGCAGCAAAAGTCCAAGAAAAACCTACAAATCCTGGAGAACTGAGTCATTGTTGGTATTTGTATAAATATCACGTCGTGTTGTAATGCAGGCTGCTGGTAATTTCAAGTTACGTCTTTCTAAGTTGTCTGCGGTGCGTCGACACAACTCTGATTCATTCATTGAGCTTTGGAGCTTCTTATGTCTGAATGAGTCAAACTGAAATGGGTGAGAAAAAAACAAAAGACAGCTCAAGTCTAAAAATTAAGAGGGCACAGGGCATGGTTGCATCTTCCTTGGACTCCAAACAGTTTTGTGCATCAATATTCACTGATTTAGCAAAAGCTTTTGACTCAGCTGATCATTCCATCTTAGTGAAATAAAATGACCATATTAGAATTTCGGGACAGCCACTAACATAGTTCTGTAATTATCTTTTGAATAGGTTGCAGCAAGTGATGGTTGACTCTCATACTTCACAGTTTCTCCCGGTTATGTCAGGTGTACCCCAAGGCTCCATTCTTGGTCCACCTCTTTTCTCCATATTTATAAAATAAAACTCGCATTCTGTCAGTGAGGCCTCTGTTCATTTATATGCCAATTAAACTGTTTTATATGCTTTTGGTTCTTCGGATGAGGTTGAGAAGTCCCTGGCATGTGGTTTTCTTGAAATCCAGCAGACCTTTATCGACATAAATTTGTCCTTAAATGCCAGGAAAACTAAATTTATGTGGTTCGGTCATGGAGGAAGGACCATACCCACCTCGGTGGACTGTAAACAGTGATGTTATACAAGAAGTAACAGTTTGTAAATATTTGGGAATTTGGATTGATGGTGCTCTGTCCTTTTCACATCATGCTAATGTTTTGCAATCTAAGGTTAAAACGAGACTTGGTTATCTATAAAGAAATAGATCTTTGTTTACATTGGCTGCAAAATGCATCATTGTTGAAAAAACCTTTCTACCTGTGTTGGAGACATAATTTATAGACATGCTTGTAAGGGTGTCCTTCGTAAGCTGGACACAATTTATCACTCTACTTTTGGCTTTGTTACAAATGCTCCTTATAGAACATTTATAAGATGTTGCGGGGTTATTCACCTCCATATTAACTCATCTACTGCAACTAGCACCTGTTTCAAAGTATCACCCGATTCTCTCAGTATTTGTGGTAAATAAGTCTCGCTTTGGCTCTGCTGCTCCATCTGACTGGAATCTGCTACAAAAACTTTGTGTCGGACCTCCGTTAGCTCAGTTTCTACTTTCAAAAATTGTTTAAAAGCCATTTTTAAAAACACTTTCAAGTGCTTTCATGCTTAGTTAGTACTCTTATTGCTTAACTTTGACAATGAACTGTTAATATAATTTATGATTTCTTGTTTGTTATTGGCTACTGTATTTTATAGTTTTGTCTAACTGTATTGCGTCCCTTCCCTTGACCTTACAAGTACCTGTTGGTGCTGCCAGGCCAGCACTGTAAAATAAGAAGTTGTTCTTAGTGTTTATGCTTGGTTAAATAAAGGTGAAAAAAAAAACCTCTCAAAACGTTTGGAAAGCTGCTGATCAGGTCGGACTGCTCCGGATGAGAATCTAAAGCATGGAGGGGTTGTTGAAGACTTTTGCACAGTATGGTTCTGTGTCCTGCAGACAGCACAGAGTCAGCTGAAAGCATGAAGCTGGCTGCAGGACCTCTCACCCAGCCTGTTACTAAGCGTTAACCCCCACCCCAGTGCTCAGTTCCATCCAGAAACCACGCTGTGGTCTTGGTGGTGGCTGATGATGAGCTGCAGAGCGGCGCCTCATATGGTGGAAAGCTCTCGGAGGTGCTATGGAAACTTTGCACATGCACAGATCCGAAACGCCTGATATAGAGTCCAGAGCCTCAGAGAACCGCAGGCCGTGCAGCTGAAGCAGCGCGGGGCTTCAGGAGCTGCACCCGGCGGGCAAGATGGCTGTCAACCAGAACCAAAGAGGGCCGCCGTCTCAACGTCATGTTCTCTCACCGCATGTCACATCATTAAAAGAGACATTCTGTAAAACTGGGAGCTTCAAAACCACAACTCACCAACAAATATAAATACCACACACACACACATATATATATGTATATATATATTATGCAAAGTGATTTCAGCCTTTACACAAGCCTCTGGATTAGACTGGACCCCCTCTCTGTTAGTTAAATATCATAAAGATTAAAGACTGAGTGCTGAGGGACCACCACCCGAGCAAATAAAGTCTTATCCGCAGCTCGGCTTGTAGTTTTCTCCTGTTTCAGGTGTAAACAATAAACTGATACAAGTTTGTTTTAGTTAATAATTTATTCTATAAACACATTGGTTTAAATAGAACTAACACAAACTGGGGAAAACATCTTTAGTCTGGGGTCGTTAAGACCCTGACAGACCAGGCTGTTTGTATTTTATTAATATTTCAAACTAAATGTTGTTTAATTCAGTTTGGATCCGGCGTTTGTGTTGATTCAGTTATCCTGCACTCAGCTGCAGCTGCTATTTTTCATTTCCCTTCTCATCCTTAAGACTTTTTTTTTGTATTAAACTATTTTAGGATTATTTAATGATAATTATTATAATTAATTATATTTTGTAGATTCTCAGAAGACTTTAAATGTCAGTTTGGACTCAGATGAACTTTGAATGGATTCATTTTAAACATTTCAAAGGTCCGGTTGGAAATGTTACGTCTGTAGAGATGAAACGTTTTAATATTTATAATTCCTTTATATGAAGTCCACATGATTATCAAGTTCCTGCAGAAGAGTTTGATTAAAAAACATGTTTTAAAACGATTTTTAATCACAAGCGTTTCCATGTTAACTGATTTAATTCTTTGGTCCCCTTAGAGGAAAGAGTGAACGACAAACAGTGGAAATAAATCATTTGTTTGTTTTTACAAAGTTTTTCTGGTGTCTAACGAGGTGTTTGACCTTAATTAGCATCACCAGACGTATCAAAACGCCTTTTTAAAAGAGAACAAACGGCCACCGAGTGGTTCCGTTCGCCACACTGAACATGGAGCAGCAAGAGCTCAAAGAGAAGATTCCAGATCTCCATGATGGACATAAAGTTTATAAAATCTTCTCCAAGGAGCTTCATGTCGCTCAGACCGCAGCTGATAAGATTATTAAGAAGCAGAAGTTTCACGGGACTGCAGCCAAACACCCAAGGCCTGGACGCAAGAGGAAATGTGACTCCAGGCAGATCAGAAAGATATTTGGTTGAAGGATTGAAGGAAACCGTCTGAAGTGACTCGAGCTGAACCTCCAAGACCGTCACTTTTTAACCGTGATGATGGAAGACGACCCAGGAGACGCTACGATTGGCAGAAAAACAAAAATCCAGACAGGAATTCACTGAAACGCCGACAAGAACCGAAGATTCTGACTGACGAGAACGGGACCTTCGGCTGCGGGCGCACCAGGGGACAAATCCAAACGGCGAAGTTCAGTTCAAAGGTTTTGTCTTTTCCTGAAGCCCAGAGAAGAAAACAGCTGAACTGTAACGGACAGACAAACACACACGTGTGTGTTTGGACATACGTGCATCCGTAACACCGCCGCACCGCGTCCCATTCACACCAGCCGACTTCTCCTCCTTCTCCTCTTCCTCCTCCTGTGACTTCACCTCTGCAACTTCATCACAGGTTTCTGAAACAAACGGTAACAAACGAGACGCGTTGAGTTGGTTTTTGTTTGTGAAACGTGGAGCAACAAACGTGCACGAGCTGACGTGAAGCCAGGAGCCAGGTGACGCCTCCCACCAGGATCGAGCCGACTCACCCATCCCGTCGTCTCCATGTGGAGATGTGAATTCAGGACGTTTGTCTGCGTTCATGGTGAGGACTTCCTGTGGAGAAGGAGGACATCTGACGTCAGCCGCCTCACAGAACCATTACTGCGAAAACTTGCTGCAAACAATCGTCTCACGCTCCGTTTGGACTAATATAAATAAAACTCTAATTAAAGATCACTTCTGTTTCTGCTGAGCGGATGAAGAAATAGAAGCAACGCTCGCGCCTCTGTTCCTGTTGAGCTGTAAAAAAAGGTTTAGTAAAAATAAAAGTGGGTGAAAGCCCACGGTTGATCGCTCGAGCCTGTCTCTGCATTTAGCCCGATGAGACGGAGGTGTTCTCTGCGCTCGGGCTTCCTGCCGCCTTCGTGCATCATCAAAATGGGCTTTCCACTCCAACAGCCACAGAGACTCCGACCAGAACTGGAGCGTTTGTTTTAAGGTGCTTCGTCGGTTCTTAAACCCAGAAGGTTGAAATTCATGTAAAGAAAAATTAAAGTTTAAACTTCCAGTCTGACAGCTCAGAGTTCAGTGATAAATTTAAAAAATAAAAAAAACTTCTTGTGAGCTGAAAATAAAAAGCAGAAGTGCATGTTTGGAGCAAACCCAAAGGCTGGTTCTGGACCTGAAGAGGAACCGATGAGGAGATCCTACCTGGTCTCTGCTCAGCACCCAGAGGAAACCGCTCTGGACTCTGAACATGGATCACACGCAGCGCCGGAGACATCCCTTAAAGGAACAGGAACTCATTCTGAATGAGGTGGAGCAACAGAGAGCTGCAGGTTCTGGGTACGGAGGAGCGACCCGGAACGCAGAGACCCGGGCCGGCTTGGATCAACTGCTCACCGGTTCTGGTCCTGGACCTGAAAACTGCACAGCTCGACGTATTTATGAGTAAGAGCTCTAAGAGTTGATGAAGTCCTTTAGGCGGTTCCCCAGGAGATTAAAAACGGGTTCCTGTTTGAGGAATCAGAACTCCATCTGGTGGCAGAACCAGAGAACTGCTGCTCTCTCCGAACAGGTCCAGAACCTGTCAGAACATGAGCCACCGCTTTCTGAATACACAAGGAGAGTTAGGGTTAGGGTCTGTCTCATTGTGTCTGTCTCTCTACATATTTGTCTCTGTCTCTAAATGTGCCTGTCTGTGTGTCTCTGTGTGTCTGCCTCTCTGTTTATGTGAATGTTTGTTTGCTGTGTTAGTAAAATATCTAATGAACCAGTGGACAGACTTTAACCTCCTAAGACCTGAACGCTTGCCTATGTGGGCGCCAGGTCCTAGGAGGTTAATGAAAGAAAATCACTGGACGTTTATCTACAGCTGAAAAACTTTGTCAACCTAATTCAAGATGGCCGCAAAGCTAAGCAGCTATAATAAATGTCCCTCACTCAGTTGATAGATGAAAATAAAAACAGAAATTAATAATTGGCAAATCTCATAAAAAATATTTTTAACTAATCATATATATTTTATATCGGCATGTTTCTGATGTTCCACTATGAATAAAATAAGTTTATAAGTTTTACACATCATTGCATTTTGTGTTTATTTACATTTTATTTATGCATTACATACGCAGGAATCCCTGTGGACTATGATGTTTGCAGATGACATTGTCATTTGTGTTGAGAACAGGGAACAGGCGGAAGAGAACTTGGAGAGGTGGAGGTATGCACTTGAAAGAAGAGGAATGAAAGTCAGCCGTAGTAAGACAGAGTACATGTGTGTGAATGAGAGGAAGGTCTGGAACAGTGAAGCTACAAGGAGCAGAGGTCACAAAGGTGCAGGACTTCAAGGACTTGGGGTCCACTGTCCAGGAAAATGGGGAGTGTGGTAAAGAGGTGAAGAGAGTCAAGGCAGGATGGAGTGGATGGAGAAAAGTTTCAGGAGTGATTTGTGACAAAAGGGTGTCAACAAAGGTGAAAGGAAAAGTTTACAAGACAGTGGTGAGACCAGCTATGTTGTATGATCTGAAGACAGAGACATGGACAAAAAGACAGGAGACAGAACTGGAAGTGGCAGAGATGAAGATGTTGAGGTTCTCCTTAGGAGAGACAAGGATGGATAAGATCAGGAATGAGATCATCAGAGGTACAGCACAGGTTGAACAACTGGGAGATAAAGTTAGAGAGACCAGACTGAGATGTTTGGACATGTCCAGAGGAGGGACAGTGGTTTGGACATGTCCAGAGGAGGGACAGTGGATATATTGGTTGAAGGAGATGAAACAGCTGAAGACGAAAACGTGATAATCTACAAGAAAACCTGTGTTACTTTTTTATTTATTTATATATTTTAAACGGAAATGTTAATTTCCTCAGAACAGCTGCTGAGACACGTTATGTTTCTAAAACAGGAGAACCTGATTCATCACGAGAATGAAGCACTTTAGTTCTAACCATGTTCCTCCACTAAAGAACAAATTAATGATGGGCTTCCAGAGTTCTGGTTCTGTTTACTTATTTACTTTAATAAGTCGATCATGATCCGCAGACTCACATCTGGACCTCAGTTCGGTTCTATTATCCTGTCCTTCCTTCATTCTGCTCTTCTCTGCTCACAAATGAAGCCCAAAAAATTTAAAATCAATGTTTTCTGTTGCAGACAAAACCCGGTTCTGTGATAGTCCTGGGCTTGGATCAGGGGTGGTTCTGGTCTTGGATTATTAACGTGGAGATTTCACAGCAACTTGTGCTGCTTTCAAGGACCACATGTTTGACAGGACGTTGGAGTGTTTTTCATTAAGACGATGTAAAACAACATTCTGCTCATGTTCTAAAGGCTGAGGAAGAATGGGGACAGGTTCCGGCCCGGCCCACTTTGCAGTCCTGACCTGCTCCAACTCTGTAGTTGGGACAGCTGAAGACATGTCTGCTGAACGGATGGGACAGAGCAACACCTGAAAGTTTTCACCTCTTTGTTTCTTCATTGTGCTTTTTGTAAGAAGGATTGGAAACATCAGGCAGAAAGTCGGACCTCTTCAGGGTGGGAGTCGGATTCCAACAGCTCAGTGTGAAGCGGCTGGGCTGAAGATCAGAACCTCCAAACCTGAAATCACGGTCCTCAGTCAGCAAAGGGTGGACTGTCCTCTCTGGGTTGGGGCTGAGGTTCTGCCTCAAGTGGAGGAGTTCAAATATCTCAGGGTTCTGTTCTCAGTGAGGGAAGAATGGAGCGTGACATAGACAAACAGATCGCTGCAGCTTCTGCAGTGTTGTGGACACTGTGCCGATCCATTGTGGTGAAGAGGGAGCTGAGCTGCAAGGAGAAGCTTTCTCTGTTTACCGGTCAGTCTACGTTCCTCCCCTCACCTGATGGTCCTGAATTCTGGGACTGAAAGCTCGAGATCATGGATCCAGGAGGCCTAAATGAGTTTCCTCTGCAGGGGAGCTGGACTCTCCTTAGAGATCGGGTGAGAAGTTCAGTTCTTCGGGAGAGAATTGGAGTAGAGCCGCTGCTCCTCCACATCCAGAGGAGCCAGGTGAGGTAGTTCAGACATCTAGTCATATGTCCAACTGGAAGGAGACCCCTGGGTAGACCTAGAACACGCTGGGACTATGGCTGCTTTGCCATTGATAAGTGCGACTCCACTCAGCTCTCGGTGATTTGCCACTGTAACTTGTTTCCCCGCTCAGTGGGTGGGGTCATCAATGCAAAGTGGGAGGGATCATAATTAGTCATTGTGTTCGAGCCGTTCCACCCGTTGTGGTCCTTAATTGCACTATAATCAGATTTCAGTTTCTTTAGCTTATCCCAGCACAGCTTAAAGGTGTAGCCCTGCTGCGCCATCATCTCCAATATCTCTCTGTAAATTCACTCATTACTTGTGGTGCCGTCCAGCTCACCCTGAGTCCTAACACCGACCAATAAATTTAGGAAGGTCTGTACCTCGTCGTTGGTCCATGGCACTATTTTTAGAGCGTCCATATCAGAAACTAACAACACAACATGATCAGAGAGGAAATGATGGTTGAAATGTAGTTTGCAGTTTTTCTGGGCAGGTCATCCAGTGACATAGCTCCGCTGGCCACGGCTGCTGTCTGCTTACGTGAAAGTTATCACCTTGGGGCAGTCCGCTTGAAACCACGAACAAGGTGGTCCCATAAACCGGGCTGAGTGGGGGTGGGTGCCGGCAGTGGGTAAACTGCTGCGGTGTGGAACAGACAGTAGCAAAGCGCCGTAAGTCTCTCAGCTGGCCAGGGAACACCTTGGAGTCCTCCCAGAAGAGCTGGAAGAAGTGGCTTTGGGAGGAGATGTCTGGACCTCCCTGCTCAAGATGCTGCCCCCGGGACGAGTCCAGAATGAACGGAGTCATACTAGAACAGTATCGCTAATTCTTCTTAACCTGAATGTAACTCAAGAGTCCACCCAATTTACCTAAACAAAGGTGAACTGACACACAATGAAACAGCTAGAGGCCCAGAACTGTTTCGGCTCCCAGATATTAATAATAATAATAATTATTATTATTATACTATCATTATTTTGTTGTTAATATCATCAATCATCTCGGTAAAGAAGACATGGTTTTCTTTGAAGTCTGACCCATCAAGAAGTGTAGCTGTATCGTAGCGGGACATGTGTAAACATGTAATTACTGCCATCGTGTTTCATTAAACCTGCCTCTGGGTCAGGGGTCTGCAAACTGCGGTTCTCAGGCCACATGTGGCTCTTTGACCATAAATAACATGGACTCTAATGGTTACATTTAAATCCAAACCAGGCACAAAGTTTATTGAAGCAGTTCAGTTTTCCACGACGGTAACGGTTTAAGCAGTTTGTCACTTCATTCGTTCACCTTCCAGACGTACGGCTTTTCTCTGAAACACGTTTTCTGTGAAACTGCAGTTAAAGCCAAAACTTGTTTCCTAAGAATATGGTCTTTTGGTGTTAAAATGTAAAAATACTGATAAACGTCAACACTTTTTTCAAATATTTTATATAGTATTTACAAATCTTTTTTGAGCAGATTTTGAAGCTCTGGACTTATTTCATTTAGTGTGAAAAGGTGCAAAAATGTTGCAGCTCCCCCCGGTCCAGGTGAATCTGCAAAGCCCACCGGAGCGCTGCACGGCCTCGGGAAGGTTTGACTGCTGCTCGTGGCCAAACAACCACCAGCTTCCCCTCAAAAACTAAACAGCTCAAAGGAGGTACGCTGGGCCTCCATGGCTAAAAGAAAGCAAAGGAACACAGGAAAGAGAAAAAAAAAACAATAAAAGCTGAGTGGAGGGCAAAGTCCAGAGTGTTTCATGATCAAAAACACAGATGATAAACTGTCCCTGCTCCACAGAGTTGTTAAAACAATCTTAAGATCCTACGTGGGGGGGTGGGGGCAGGGAACTGGTAGTGTTCGTTTGCATTTTATAGCTGCTCACCTCAGTTAGGGGCAAAAGAGAAAGATCTGAGAGCAGAAATAATGAGGTGAGACGGGGGAGGCAGGGACCTGTCTAATCGCTGGATACCAACAGAGATCTGGGTGAAGAAACAGGGCTTGCTTCGGTGCTTGGGCATTCAGCTCCAGAATGAGGACTTTCTACATTTGTTGCTGATTAAAGTGAAGCTGATGAGTTTCTGTTCCTTCTTGACCCAGATGTTGCGTCCAGTACACGAGTCTGTCATGTGAAACAGACCTGAGTGAAGTTGGTTAGTGAACAGTGAGCGAGGGGGAAGTCCATTCAGCCGTTTCTGCTCGGTGCCATCAGGTCTTGATGAGGACAGGCGAGGGGACGTGTGTGCAGGTTTGTGGGTCTGAGTGTGAGGAGGCTTTTGAAGAGGCAGAGGGAGACAGAGGAGAGAGATTCAGCCTGGCTCTCCTGCGCTGCGCCTGCACACAGAGGCGTGGCCAGGATCCTATAAAGTCCAAGCAGAGCCTCTCTCTTCTCAGAAGACAGTCCTCTGCGCTGCACACCAGCGAGAGAAGGAACCTGCAGCTTTAGCTCAAACCTCTGCCTTTCTCAGGATCTGCTTCGGACACTTGTTGACCCTGGTGATTCCCAGCAGAAAGGCAGGCAAAGCCCACCTGAACATAATGCTGCTTATCCTTCCTGTTCCTTCCAACTAGTTTCCATTACAACAACGTTTGCCGGCTGAGGAGATCAAGGGGCTCAAGTTTCTGTGCAGTGAAACTGACCCAGAGGAACAAAGAAGCGATACAGCCGAGGCAGCTGGAAACATCAAAGAGCCTCCTGGACAAAGCTCTCCTCTCAAACCTCCTTTGTCTAAAATCTGCTGTACAAGAAGAAAGTGGTCAAAAAGCTCTCAGAGAGGAGGAGGAAAGCTCACTGACAAGGGTAAAAGATCAGGTGCTGGGGCGGTCATGGTGCGAGGACGTGGTGTGGCTCCGTCCTACTGGGGCCTGTGGGTGTTCAGTGCCTTGTTCCTGGCAGCGTTGTGCTTGTCTGACCAGGCCATCCGCTGCCCGGTGTGCTCCGAGGAGAGGCTGGCCAGCTGCCGTCTGCCCGAGGGCTGCGAGGAGACGGTCCGCGAGCCGGGCTGCGGCTGCTGCCCTACATGCGCCCTGCCGAAAGGGGCCCACTGCGGCGTGTACTCGCCCCGGTGTGCAACGGGCCTTCGGTGCTACCCGCCTCGCGGCGTGGAGCGGCCGCTGCACACCTTGATGCATGGCCAGGGCGTCTGCACGGATGAGAGGGAGGTGGAGGACAACTCAGGTAAGAGAACCACAGCAGGGCTCTTCATCCTGGGGCTGGGAGATATTAGATGGTGCAAGAGCAGAAAGGGTTGTTGATCTACCAACCCAGAGATCGTGGGATCACCTACAGAGCACCTTCTATCTATCGTTGTTTTATGTTTTGTGGTGATGCTCAGCCGAATCACACTAATGACTAGTTAGCTTAATGCCCGCCCTAAAAATCCATCAATCAACCAATCACACCAGATTACAGCTGACGACTTCTCTTTGAAACAGCAGAAACAAATAAAGCGGAGCAGAAAAAAAACCCTCCACTGCCATTAAATAAGACTGGTTTGACGAACATCTCGTCATCTGCGGTCACACTGAGCAGCAAGCAGTGCTCCCCTCACCCACCTGTTGCTCTGAGGCGTCATTCAGGTGTACAGTCACTGAGGAGGACATCCTGTAAACGTTAACGCTCGTTAACAAAGGCTGTCGGCTCGTTGTATCCAGCAGGTAATTCAGTGAGTTGTGGTTCATCTACCAGAGGGGTGAAACCCACCGCTCTCTTTTTAGGGTAATTCTGTTCTGAAGCAAACGTTTGCAACGATCAGCTTGAGTTAGCGTGTTAGCAGGTGAAATACATTCACTGATGTTAAATGTAAACGTACTGCTCTTCTTTGTTAGACGGAGATGTTTTTATAGAGAAAATTTGTTTGGTTGCACCGTTTTGTAACTTGCAAGATCAAAAAAAAAAAAAAGTGATGTAAAATGGTGATATGGAATGGCTTTACGGTAAAATATTGAGATATTTTCGCCACATCGCCCATCCCTACATCACCCTTCTCTGCTGCTGTCAGTCAGGTCTTTGCTCCCCCGTCCTCACCTGAGCCGGGAGGTTTCAGAGCCGTCGTGAAGCAGAGCGAGCACCAGCTCTGGTTAGTCGGGCGCAGGCAGTCCCTCTGCACTGAAACGGAGGCCCTGCCATAAAGCGAGCGTCTCGGTTGAAAACTGTGGCAGCATGTGTGTGGAGTCAGACCAAACCTGTTCCAGGAGCAGCACGGGGAGGGATGTGCACGTTGGTGCCTCGGCCTGTAATGGGAGGAGGTAATAAAAGCTGCCGTATGAAACGGGTGTAATGGATTGTGGTCAGTCTGGGGCTATTAGCGCTCTCTGCAATCACTTGGTGCTATTTCATGGGTATCCCTCTTCCTCCTCCTCCTCCTCTCCTGCTGCTGCTGCAGATTTCTCACACTTCTTCATCTGCTGATGTCTCTATCCTGCTCCTCTTGGCCTCCTTACCCCCTCCCTCCCCTCTTTTCCTCCTGCAAAGAACAAAGTCTGTTTCCACTGTCAAAGTGCAACTGGATGTCTAATCAGCACAAACGAAGGGGTTTGAACCTTTAGGCAGCTCAGGACTCGATTACGATTCAGAACACGCTTCAAACAGAATCCCAAGGATAAAAACTCTCAGACATTAAAGCGACTAGATAACTTAATCTGCACTACAAGATAAAACAAGATTTTGGAACAAAAAAGCAAGTAGCCATAAGAGCTGAGTCTAGTGATGACGTCTACGTGTTCGAGCCGTCTGACCCACTTTCTTCTGCTTCGTTACTTTTGGTGCAGGGATGACTCCATTAGCTTTGTTAGCATCTTTAGGATGATCATGTTTAATTGTGGGGCAGCACGGTGGCGCAGTAGGTAGAGCTACCGCCTCTCAGCAAGAAAGACGCCGAATCAAATCCCGGCCAGGGGCCTTTCTGGGTGGAGTTTGCATGTTCTCTCCGTGCATGCGTGGGTTTTCTCCGGGTACTCCGGTTTCTTCCCACAGACCAAAAACATTCATGTTAGGCTGACTGATAACTAAATTGTCCCTAGGTGTGAGTGAGAGAGTGAATGGTTGTTTGTCTCGTTTGTCTCTATGTGTCCCTGTGATGGACTGGAGACCTGTCCAGGGTGTCCTCCACCTCTAGCACAGTGACTACAGGATATGGGCACCTGTGACCCCCGTGACCCGAAAAGGAAGGAGCAAGTAACAATAATGGATGGATGGATGGATGGATGGATGGATGGATGATGGGTGGTTAATTGTGGCTCCAAAGGTGCAAAGTAAGACGGTATCTCAGCGGGCTGCAGCTGTTGGAGCCTCAAAACTGTAGGAAATAAATTGATGGAATTTCTGTTGTCTGACTCAGTCCTCCGTGTTTGTGAACGAGGGATCAGCGAGCCATGTGGCTGTTTTGTACTTACAGTTTTTGAAAAACTATGATCTAGTTTTGTATTGATGGCTTGGAAAACTATTCTTGGCCGTGCCCATCATTAGCTGCCGACATTGTCCCCATTGTTACAAAAGACTTGTCTGTTTAATTGACTTGGATTTAAACAATTTGTGTGACGTCAGTTCACAAACATGAAGGAGCAGCTTCACCCACATTACTGCAGCCTCTGCAGCTACGTGCTGAAGTGAAGAGCCTCTGTAACTAATTGTTTAAAACAAACCAGACTTTGTGCCGAGTTCACGCTGTGAAGTTTTAACATCTAATTAATGGGTTTGAGTTTAGAAGAGTCAGACTTTGAGGTGAAATTAGTCGGGTTTGTAGCAAAAAGATTTATCTCCAAAATATTTACGAGTTATGTGGCTCATCCCCCTCCAATATCTGGATCAGCTGCCATCATGTCTTCAGATCTACAGTCATCAAAAAAACTCAGGTTGTACCAGGCTTCAGTCCCACAATGTCCCGTTTGTTGTCAGAACCAGAGTTTGGAAAAAAGGTGTTTAAATACTCTGCACCTAATGCCTGGAACTGCCTGGAAATCAACGGTATGGTCTCTGAGAACATTAAAGTACTTGAGGCTTAATTGTGATCAAATCAGAGATTGTGTGTTCTTTGATTGTTCTAACTTGTTTTAATCTGTACTGCACACTTGAAATAGACTTTTCATCTGAATAAGTCCTTTTCCTGGTTTAATAAAAGATAAATAAAGACAAAACAGGATGAATAGAACCCCTGCCCATTCACAAACCGCTCCAATATGCTGCCCTGAATTTATTTTCCCTGATGAAATCTGCCTCCCCAAAGGGAGTGGCACTGATTTCCTCGCTGACAGATTCTGCCGGAGGGCTCTCAGAACCAAGAAGAACTGGATCGGGCTCAGTCGATGTAAAACTCCTGGGATGAGCATCTTCACTGCAGCATCTGTTCTCCCTGAACTCGCTACACCCCACCTCCTCAGAGTCCTAACGAGCCTCGAGCGCGTCGCCCACCAGCTCCTCAGTGAGGATGAGCTCATCGACACCCTCGAGCTGAAACCAGAGCCTGCTGGTCTGTCTGCGCAGGGCCGGCGAAGGTTAGCGTGACTGCGTGGAGTCAGGGAGGAGAGAGGAGCTCGTTAAAAACAAACGCTCGTCTCGGTTTGTCCCGGCTTTGGCCGCCAACACCCGACGGGTTTACCGCCCCTGAATCAGGACTACGGCGAGCCGATGGGAGTTCCTTCATTCTGGGAATGAAACCGTTCAGAACGTTCATAAGTTTGTTGTTGTTTGTTTATTTAGTGGGTGTTCTGTAACCCGAGTCTGCCATAACAAAGTGAGGTTTGCCTTTAGATCAGATCAGCTCAGATCTGAGAGACCCAAAACAACAAAAAAAGGAGAAACAATCAAAAAGAGGAGAGAGAGGCGACTCCAGTCGGGAGCAGCAGAGCTCCTGTGTGGCACATTCACTTGTGCATTATTAAAGACGGGGGTGCATCTCCTGAAAACTTGCCCCACTCCTAGCAACAGCGAACATGTAAGATAAAAATAGAAGAGGGTTTTTAAAAACCAGGAGGATCCATCCTGAAGGGAGCGGAGACGAAGCGAGGCACATCCTCACCGACAGGATTTTAGGGTGTTCGTTACAGCCCTGCAGGAAAAAAACATCAAAGAGCTCGAAGGAATGCTTATTGCCCGCCGCCGCTCATCATCAATTTTAGACAAAGATCATCTTTAGCTGAATGATTAAACAATTAAATGCTAATGCTAAGAGTAGAGTGACTCTCAGCTACTACCACACAAAATTTTAGGACAACTCCTATCAATGTTAGAGTTGTAGCCATTTTCATGTTGGCTAAGCTCAATCAGTTGTGGCGGCCATATTGACAGGGTCTGAGTTGAAAAGTTAATTTATTTAACTTTGCTAACAGACAGAGGAATTGCTGGCCGATATCTTCAACTCCTCCCTGACCTTGGCAACAGTTCCCCACCTACCTGAAGACCACCATCATCCCAGTTCTTAAGAGCTCTGCAGCGACTGGTCTGAATGACTTACGGCCAGTAGCCCTCACTCAGATAGTTGCTAAATGCTTCGAAAAACTGGTCACGACCCGCATCAAAACAACTATCAGCATCAACGAGGACCCTCACCAGTACGCATACCGCAAGAATCAGTCAACAGAGGACGCCATCTCCTCTGTGGTCCACATTGCTCTCACCCACTTGGAGCAAAAGGACTCGTACGTCCGTATGCTCTTTGTGGACTTCACGTCTGCCTTCAACACCATGATCCCCCAGACTCTGATGGACAAACTACTCACATTAGCCCCCCCATTTGCAACTGGGTCCTAGACTTCTTAACAAACCGACCACAGTCTGTGAGGGTCCACAACTTCTCCTCCTCCACCATAACCCTCAGCACTGGCTCCCCTCAGGGCTGTGTGTTGAGCCCTCTCCTGTTCACTCTGCTCACGTATGACTGTGCAGCTGCCCATCCAGGCTGTTATATAGTAAAGTTTGCAGATGGTACAGAGGTGGTTGGATGCATCACAAACAACGATGAGTCCAGCTACAGGCAGGAGGTGGAACACCTGGAGAGCTGGTGCAGGAAGAACAACCTTCACATCAATGTGAAGAAGACGAAGGAGATTACTGAGGATTTCAGAAGGAACAAACATACCTATCCCCCCCCCCCCCCCCCCTACCCCGACCGCCCGTGGAAGTGGGCTCCAGGTACAAGTACTTGGGTGTGCACCTGAATGACAACCTCATCTGGGGCAACA